AAAGGTAAAACAGAAGATCAGATCCAGCTGAAGAGAAAATTGCTCAACTGGAAAATAAAGAAATAACTCAGAATACAGCAGGGAGATAAAGGAGACAAAATATTAAAAAGGTGTTAGAGATGGATGGAAGAATTAAAAATTCTAACATATTCTAACTGGAGTCTTAAATGAGAATAGAGAGAATTGAGGAGAGGCATTCTACAAAGAGAGAAGGGCTGTACATTTTCTAGAACTTATGTCTAAAACATTGTAGTGAAACCAAAGGCAAAGAAAAGGACTTAAAAAAACATAATGGGAACTATTTTCAGCATTATAGTGAGCTAGTTAGCTTGATTAACTCTCTCACTGAAAACTGAAAATGCTGATAAAATGTTTCATGAAATATTTACAAAATATTTTATAAAATATCATAAAACGGGGCTGGCCCCGTGGCTGAGTGGTTAAGTTCGCACGCTCTGCTGCAGGCGGCCCAGTGTTTCGTTGGTTCGAATCCTGAGCGCGGACATGGCACTGCTCATCAAACCATGCTGAGGCAGCGTCCCACATGCCACAACTAGAGGAACCCACAACGAAGAATACACAACTATGTACCGGGGGGCATTGGGGAGAAAAAGGAAAAAATAAAAAAATCTTTAAAAAAAAAAAAAATCATAAAACATTTTCAAATGCAAAGATGAGCTTTCAAGAAGTAGGGGACAACATGGATGAACCTGGAGGACATTATGCTAAGTGAAATAAGCCAGACACAGAAGAACACATTAACAAGAACACAGAACAAATGAACAAAGAGGAAGCATGGCTCCTATAGCCTGGTGCTGTGGGCCTGTACGGGGGAAGCAATGGACCAGCAGACTATACATGCATTTAACAGGGAGTTCCAGGAAATGAAACAGCTTTAGGGGGTTTGTAAAGCTCTCCACACATCCATGGTTGACCAGAGGCTTTGTAAATGCACAGCAGGGACTAGAGTGGGCTCAAACCACCTACACATCCCTGGCCAACAGAGCCTGTGCACATGTACAAAGAAGACACGAGAGAGCCTGGTGGAAAGTAAAGGCCAGGTCAACTTTGAAAAGGGCCTGAGCTTGAATGTGCTTCCCAGACCCATTACCAGACCCATCAGCAGAGAGTGTAGCCTTACTAGTGCAAGGCGATTGAGCACAACATCTGAACACTAAGATATACAGACACAGGCACTATCCCAAAGAAGCCAGACTTAAAAGTAAAAACAAGGGGGAAAAACCTGAGCAGAGGCATCAGCAGGTCGATAGATAACCGTTTTAGCCCAGGCAAGTTACTAAACAAACAAAATAACAATCCAGCATGTATGTGTGTGTGTGTGAGAGAGACAGGGTATGTGTATCAGACTCCAGAGTTGCTACAATTTATTATCTAAAATGTCTAGTATTCAACAAAAAGTTACAAGACATGCAAAGACACCAGAAAGTTTGACCTATGTCTTCCCGTGGATTCCTGTTATGCTCTGGCATCACTTCCTTTCAACCTTTAGTATTTTTTTGTAAGTCAGGCAAGTCTGCTAGTGACAAATTATCTCAGTCTCTGTGTATCTGGGAATGTCTTTATTTTGCCTTTGTTTTGTTTTGTTCCTCTGTTCCTTCTTTACTACCTTCTTTTGGTTTAAATAAATATTTTTTTATATTTATATTAATTTATATTAAATATTTATTTATATTTATTTATAACAAATAAATGTTTGTTTATAAACCTAGGGCTGGGTAGGTTATTTTTAAAGGGTAGTTTTGCTGGATATAGAATTCTTGATTCAGTTTTTTTCTTTTAGCACTTGGAATATGAGATTCCACTGCCTTCTGGCCTGAGAAGTCAGCCATTAGTTGTTGTTCCCATGTACCTTACAAGTCATGATTCTTTTGCTGCTTTCAAGATTTTATCTTTTTTTTTTTCTTTTCTGAATTCCCTTCCCCATCCCAGGCATCCAACAATCTGCTTTCTGACATTAGAATTTTGCCTTTTTCTGGAATTTCATGTAAATGGAATTTTACAGTATATAGCCTTTTGCGTATGACTTCTTTCACTTAGCAAGTTTTGAAATTCATCCACGTTGTGTGTATGAGTATTTCATTCCTTTTAATTGCTCAGTAATATTCTATAGTAGGGATATACTACAATTTCTTTATCCATTCACCAGTTTATGAACATGAGGATTTCTTCAAATTTGAGGCCATTATAAATAATACTGCTGTGAACATTTGTGTACACATCTTTTTGTGAACATAGTTTTCATTTTTGTGTGCTTGTCTTTCAACAATTTGACTAGACTGTAATCCCTAGAGCAACCATTAAGAAAGTAATTAAGGGGGCCTGCCCCATGGCCCAGTGGTTAAGTTCGTGCGCTCCACTTAGGCTGACCAGGGTTTTGCCAGTTCGAATCCTGGGCATGGACATGGCACCACTCATCCAGCCATGCTGAAGTGGCGTCCCACAGGCCACAAGTAAAAAAAATATATACAACTATGTACTGGGGGAGCTTTGGGGAGAAAAAGGAAAAATAAAATCTTTAAAAAAAAAAAAAAGAAAAAGAAAGTAATTAAAATATATGTTTAAAAAAAAAACAGGAAAACTAAAATAGTATGCTAACAAATATTTATTTAAACCAAAGGTAGTAAAGGAGGAATAGAGGAACAAAACAAAATAAAACAAAAAAGCGACATGAGACAATGAAACATATGTCACACAAAAATGTAGACAGGATTGTTCGTAGCAGCATTCTTCATAATAGCAAAAAAGCGGAAATAACTCCAATGACCATCAACTGATGAACAGCTAAATAAACATGATATATTCACACAATGGAATATTACTCAGCAATAAAAAAAGAACGAAGTACTGATACATGCTATAATATAGATGAACCTTGAAAACATTATGCTAAGTAAAAAAAACCAAGATACAATAGACCATGTATTGTATGATTCCATATATGAAATGTCCAGAATAGCAAATCTATACAATCAGAAAGTGAATTCATGGTTGCCTAGGGCTGGGGGTAAGGAAGTTTGGGGGAAATAACAGGGAGTGACTGCTAATGGATATGAGGCTTCTCCTTGGGATGATTAAAATATTCTAGAACTGATTGTGATGATAGTTGTACAACTCTGTGAATATAATAAAAACCACTGATTTGTACACTTTATTTATTTATTTATTTATTTACTTATGTATTTTTGAGGAAGATTAGCCCCAAGGTAACATCTGCTGCCAATTCTCCTCTTTTTGCTGAGGAAGACTGGCCCTGAGCTAACATCTATGCCCATCTTTCTCTACTTTATATGTGGGATGCCTGCCACAGCATGGCTTGCCAAGCGGTGTGTAGGTCCACACCTGGGATCCAAACCAGCGAACCTTAGGCCACTGAAGCGGAACCTTCAAACTTAACTGCTGCGCCACCAGGCTCGCCCCTGAACTGTACACTTCAAGTGGGTGAACTATATGGTATATAAAGTACATCTCAATATAAAGCTAATAAAAAATAAAACTGTAAAATATGAAAAAAAAGCAAGCCAAATCTAATAAGGTAAAAAATAAAGAACACATCAAGATCAAGACAGGTTTATTCTATAAATGCAAAGCTGGTTTAACATTAGAAAATTAACTAATGTAATGTACCATTGTTTAGAAATTTTTCCTCCCTTCCTCCTCCCACCTCTGTAGACTGAGTATAGTTTGGGCTTGGCCATATGACTTCCTCTGACCATTGGAAGTTGACAGACGATGGAACCTGAAGACATGAAAAGTAGTTGAAAAACTGCTTGTCTTCTTGCCCTTCTTCCATCACCATGAGAAGAACATGCCCAGACTATCCTGCTGGTCCCAGAAGGAGTAAGAGACAGATGGAGCACAGCAAGAGCATCCAGCCAATCCCAGTTCAGAATGCTGACCCCAGTCAACCCACAGATTTATGAGACTAAATAATTGTTTTATGCCACTGAGGGTTTTTGGGGGGTTTTTTTCTGCTTTTTCTCCCCAAACCCCCCCAGTACATACTTGTATATTTTAGTTGTGGATCCTTCTAGTTGTGGCATGGGGGATGCCACCTCAGCATGGCCTGACAATCGGTGCCATGTTCATGCCCAGGATCTGAACCAGAGAAACCCTGGGCCACCGAAGTGGAGCATGCAAACTTAACTGCTCGGCCATGGGGCTGGCCCTCCACTGAGTTTTGATATGGTTAGTTACATGGCACTTTTGTGGTAATAGCTAATTGGTATAGGTAGCTACCAAAAAAAACCCCACAGTAAACATGAAACTTAACAGTAAAACATTAAAGGCATTCTTCTAAAGATCAGGAATAAGATAAGAGCATCTACTGCCACTACTTAACATTATATTCAATGTCTTAAGCAAGGGAATAGAAATCAAAGGTATAAATATTAGAAAGACAAAGAAAACTACAGGAAAGATTTTGGATTTGATTCTGAGGCAGATGACAGGTTTTGGGCAGAGAGATAAAATGATCTGATTTACACTTTGAAAGGAGTATTCTGGCTGCTGTGTACAACCAAGGCATGAGCAGGGACACCAGAAAGGAGGCTATTGTAACAATCCAGCGAGAGATAGTGGTGGCTTAGATTGGGGTTAAAGGCAGTGGAAATGTCAGAGTGGTCAAATTATGGATAGATTTCAAACATACAGCATACAGGTTGCTGATTGGCCAGATATGGGGTAGAGAAAAAGAGTGGGTCAAGGATAACTCGAATTGTCTTGCCTGAGCATCTGATAGATTGGATTTATTGAGATGGGGAAGCCCTAGAGAAAAGCTGGGGAAGAGAGGCAGGAATCAAGAGAGAGTTTTGTACTCATCAATTTTGAAAAGCCAATTAGATATCCAACTGGAGATGATAAGTAAGGAACTGAATATAGGACTCTAGAGTTCTGAGGAGAGGTTAGGGCAAGAGAAAGAAAATGGGAGTTATTCGCATATAAACAGCTTTTAAAGCCTTAGAGTTAATGGAATGACTCACCGTGTATGTGTGTAGAGAGAAAAGAGGTCTGATAATGGAGCTCCGGGTACACCACTGATTAACGGTCAAGGAAGACGAAGAAGAATCAGCCAAAGAGACCTAGCAGCAGCAGCCAATGAGACATGAGGAGAACCAAGAAACCAAATGAAGAAAGTGATTCAGGATGTAATAATAGTATTACGGTTACATAGAAAATTATCTTAGCAGATAATGCTAAAGAAGTGTCATGATGCCTGCAACTTATTTTCAAATGGTACAATAAAAAATCATATTATATCCTATCCTATCAAACCATATGATACCACATTAGAGAGAGAAAAAACACAACAAAATGTTAACAATTATTGAATCTAGGTGAGGGTATACAGGTGTTCATTGCGCATTCCTTCATCTTTTCTGCATGTTTGAAATTTTTCATAGTAAAGAGATAATGGAGGGGACTGTTTTGAGAATAGGAATAGACTATATTCATTTAACTGCTCTTCCTAAAGTCAAATAACCTTATACCCCTAATACCCAGATTGTGGTATCTAAATGCCATTTCCAACTAAAAGGAACCAGGAATCACTGGAAAAAATAGCTGATACCCACTCTAGCCTAGGAATGGATAAAATGAGCCTGGAACATTTTATCATATCAAATAGCAAGAAACCTTAAAAATTGTGTCAAAGGGACTCAGGAGCCAACTTGAATAAGTTCCCATTGGCCAAAATAAGACAAGTTAAACATTGAAACTGATAATAACTGGCAACAATTGAAACATATCACATATATGTGCTAAAATCTGAGTTCATAATGATCCTAAAACAAACTCATTGGTGATCTTTGGAGGATGCTAGGGAACCAACTCATTACTTTGAAAGCTGGTAAAATAAAAGTGAAAAAAATCAAGCATTTTTCTTGCCTTTCCTACATAAAATATATCTATGGGTAACAAATAGTTAATGTGGAAAAGTTTCTCTTTGTACAAGTATTCTACCTAATAAACAAAGAAGGAATGATAGAATGAGAATATTATTTTCTAAGTCCTATATTAATGAGTCTAGACCAGTGGTTTTCAATCAGGGACAACTGGCAATGTCTACAGACATTTTCGGTTGTCACATTTGAGGGAGTTGCTACTGATAACAAGTGGGTAGAGACCAAGGACGCTGCTAAACATCCAACAATGCACAGGACAGCCTCTACAATAAAGAATTATCTGGTGCAAAATGCCAAGAGTGCCAGGTGTTTTGAAACACTCTGGTCTAAACAATGATCATCATCAGCTACTAACATCACAAAAAGACCACCACTCTATACCTCCTGATAGAAGTATTAAAACCACCTATGAATTACTTTTGCCAAAATAATCAAATCTAAATCTAAGTCTCTAACCAATTTACAAGAAATACAGGAGATGGAGGAATATGCTAAATTACACCAGAAGCAGCTCAGCAAATTCAGACTTTGAGGAAACCCTACAGGACACATGACCTGTTTTCTTCTAAAAAAAAAAGTAGTAAAGGAAAAAAGATGGAGCATGGACTTAAAGAGTTAAGAACATTTAAGAGATATATCAGCTGAGAAGTATAGATCTTATTTAGATTTAAGTCAAATAAACTATTTTTAAAAACTAAACATCTGGGGCCATGACCGAGTGGTTAAGTTCACAGGCTCCGCTTTGGCGGCCCAGGGTTTTGCCAGTTCGGATCCTGGGTAGGGACCCAGCACCGCTCCTCAAGCCATGCTGAGGTGGCATCCCACATAGCACAACCAGAGGCACAACGAGAATATACAACTATATACTAGGGGGCTTTGGAGAGAAGAAGAAGGAAAAAAAAAGATTGGCAACAGGTGTTAGCTCAGGTGCCAATATTTGAAAAAAAAAATTTATAAGACAATGGGGAAAATGTGAACAACTGGATACTTGATGATATTAAAGAATTCTGTTTAATGGTACTGTGATTTTGTTTTAAAAAAGAATATCTTTTAGAGATAACATACTAAAATATTTATTGATTAAATGATATAATGTCAGAAACATGCATCCAATAACTCGCTGGGAGGAGAGAGCTGAAACAAGATTGGCCATGAATTGATCAATAGCAAATCATTAGCATAGAAGGTAAAGGAAAGCAGGTACCTTCACCTCGGCCAGGTCATTTACGGCAACAGCACAACTGAGGCATGAGTAAGAGATTTTGCACAATGGGTCTCCAACAAAATGGTCTTATTCACCCAGATTAAATAAGGGTTCATTGTTCTGTCCTTTTTTTTTAATGTTTGATATTTTCTATCATAAAAAGTCTGAAAAACAACAAAAAGATCTAATTGCCTAACTCAAGGAACATTTAAAACTTAGCAGACTTATCTCTGCACCATTTAATGCTGTTCATTATTCCACTTTGCCTAAACTCTCCATTCCTAAGATTCCATAGCACCAGACTCTCTAGATTCTCTTTGCATTTTTCAGCTTATTTCCCCTCAGTTTCTTTCATGGACATCTCTTTGTCCACGTACCCTTTAATGTTTGTGTTCCCCAGGATTCCACTGTCGCCTATTTCTCCCTCTGTACACCCTACTTGGGTGATGGCATCACCTTCAGTTTCCTTCACCATCACGCTTTAGCAATCATCTATCTTCCCCCACCCAAACTTTCCTCCTCCTGGATTCTTTAGGTCAGTTGATATCACCCAGTCATCTAAGCTAGAACCTTAAAAAATTACCCTGGCTGATGCTCCTTCTCCCCACAGGGCGGTCTGACTTTGGATCCTACTCAATCAGCAAGTTTTCCCACACTAGTTGAACGTTTCCTCCTCTCCTTCCCTACTATCCTGTAGGGGAAGGAGACATTTCCTCTAGCCACTCTTGGTCCTTCTCGCTGGACAACGAATTAAATTCACAAGACAGAATAAGAGGAGAAAATTAAACTAAGCTTTATAATATGTACACATGGGAGAGGCGCAGGCAAACTGAGCAACTCACCAAAATGGGGGATGCTCTCACCTTAAATACCATCCTCAGCTAAAGAGGAAGGAGGATGTTGGGGGTGAGGGGAGTCAGTTATGGGAGATTACCAGATAAGTACAGTAAACAAGAGTCAGGTCATTATGCAGACTTGAGTCCTTGCCTTCCACATTGATGAGAGTTTCTAGAGATAAGGTCATCCCCCCTTCTTCCTGGTTCAGAGAGGGAGACGCCTTTACAGATGGAGATTTCCTTTACAAATGTAAATGTCTCTTAACAAAGGGTTACTTCTGCTTCTCAAGTTTCCCTCAGGTCTGCAGTTTTTAAAAGTAACCAGCCCAGGGGTCGGCTCCGTGGCCGAGTGGTGAAGTCCGCGCAGCGGCCGTGGCTAAGTGATTAAGTTCGTGCGCTCCGCTGCGGCGGCCCAGGGTTCAGATCTTGGGCGCAGACATGGCACCGCTCGTCAGGCCACCTTGCGGCGGTGTCCCACATACCACAACTAGAAGGACCTGCAACTAAGATATACAACTGTGTGGGGGGTGGGGAGATAAAGCAGGGAAAAAAAAAGATTGGCAACAGTTGTTAGCCCAGGTGCCAATCTTAAAAAAAAAAAAAAAAGTAACCAGCCCCAAATAATCCTCATGCCAAAGAGAGGTATCTCGGGGTGGCCAATTCCAGTCCCCCACAGACCCTATCCTAGTTCAGTGCCCCATCCTCTCCTGACAGGAGCACTGTCAGAGCCTCCCTCCTCCAGTCTCCCTGCCTCCATAGAACCATCACAGCGATCTTTCTAAAGCAGGAATGCGGCTCCTCTGCCTAGAATTACCATCACCAAGTAGTATAGTAATTCTCAAAGTTTGGCTAAAGGGTCAGATACGTGTGGATTAAATTATCTATTATGATATTACTTAAACGACATGAGGCATAAATTCCTAGTGTTTATAGATCTCATACAGGTATAGACAGCGAATTCACAAGTCAAATAACTACATATATTAACATCAACTTAACGTGATGATGGAGCTTGTTTTGCTGAGACCCAGTCGCCTCTGGAAGAATGACCAGGCCGCCCACGGCCCAGGCCCAGGTTGTTCTGAGGCTCCGGAAGGACTGACTCTCCCCAGACTTGCGCGGAAGCTGCCGCGCCCGGCGCGCCGAGGCAGCGTCCGGCCCTCTCGGCCCCTGCAGCACCGTTTACGATCTAGGACGCCTTCATCCTCTTCTCGTTGGCCCCTGGCAGTTAGGTCGTACTTGGCTCCATCACCCTGGGCCAGGGCGGCTGGAATGCGGCGCGCGCGCGCCTCCCTCCACTTCACGGCAGACGCGCAAGCAGCGCTTCAGGACGCCTGAAGAGGGCGCCGCCGGCTCCCCCGTCCGGCCCGCCGCTCGGCGACGCCCGCAGCCGCCCGCCGGCCACCGCGGCGTCCCCCGTGCCTGGCCACGATTGGCTATTCCACCGACGAAGGGGGAGGAACCCCGGAGAACCGGAAGCGCCGGGTACGGCGAGCGCGCGGGGTCCCGCGGCAGTGCCTGCGCGCTCGGGGCGAACCCCGCGCCGACTTCGAGAGGCCGCTGCAGCTCCTCCTCCGGCCTGAGGGGGCAGACCGACTCCTACGTGAGGCGGGGCGGAAGCGGCGGGGAGAGATCGCTCTGATAAGGGCGGGGCCACACCGCGGGAGGAGTCACGTTGAGGGGCGGGGTCACCATGACCGGCGGGGTCGCTCCGAGAGGCGGGGTCTCCCTGCGTGGGAGGAACCCTCGGAGGAGGGGTGTAGCACCCAAGGGCTCCAGCGACCCCGATGGTGGTGCTGTCCTACTGGGGAAAGGTCCCTCCGAGGGGCCGGGCCTCCGCGGGGAAGGGCTCCTGGAGGGGCGGGGTCTTGCCGAGGGTGGGACCTCGCCGAAGGAGGAGCTCGCCTGCAGTGGGAGGTGGCTCTGTGGAGAGAGGGTAGTTGGGAAGGAGGAGAGGGAGGGAGGTCCGTGTGGCGGGTCGCTGGGCGGAGGCACTGGAGGGAGAACTTTATTCGAGGGGGGCGGGATGGAGTGAGGAGGAGCCGGGGCTGGCTGGCCGAGGGCCCACCGCGGCCCCCGGGCACCACGACCGCCCGCGAAGGTAGAAGGCGTCGGGGGTGCAGAGGTTGCAGGAGTCGGGCGGAGACCGGGAATGGGCAGGCGGCGCCGGGGCGGACGCCGGGGCGGCGGGCAGGTGGCCGGGCCTGAGCGGGCTTCTGCTCTGCCCCGCTCCTCGGTGGAGCGCAGACAGCGGGCTGCTCCCTGAGCCCGGCCCTCCGCCGCCAGTGCCCCGAGGGCGGGGAGAAAGGACTCCCAGGGCGGCCGGCGACGTTCGAGCTGCGCGTACGCACAATCAGCCCCCGTTCCATTCAGTTGTTCAGCTCGAACCTGCACGTGCTTCTCCCGACGCCGCAGCCCCCGCGGTCGCGGCCACCGGTCGCGGCGTGCGCACCTGGGGGGCGTGGCGCTGCCCCGAGGCCCGGCTCGAAGGAGTTAAGCGGAGGCCCGGCCCCGCCCCGCCCCCAGCAGGCCGCGGAGCCTGAGCCCCAGCGGCGAAGCGGAGAGCCGCCGCCCGCCTCCGCCTGCGGGAGCCAGCGCCTGCCCGCCGGCGCCCGGGAGCGTCCCCGGCCCGCCGGCCAGGCCAGCCCAGGCCGTGCGCAGCGCGGCGCGGCGTCCGCCCGGGCCCAGCGAGCCGGCGCGGCGGGGGCGGGCCCAGGATCTCCGGCGGGCCTTCCATTCCCCCGGGCGGGAGCGGAGCCCCGGCGCCCATGGCGAGCGCGGCCTGCCCGGGACCCGGGGACCCTGCCATGTGAGGCAGGCCCGGGCTGGGGCCCGGCCATGGCCGGGGAACGGCCCCCACTGCGGGGCCCTGGGCCCGGGCCGGGAGAGGCGCCGGGGGATGGGCCCCCCGGGCCGGGGGGCGCGGGCGGAGGCCCGGGCCGGGGCCGCCCCTCCTCCTACCGGGCCCTCCGCAGCGCCGTGTCCAGCCTAGCGCGCGTGGACGATTTCCACTGCGCCGAGAAGATCGGGGCCGGCTTCTTCTCTGAGGTCTACAAGGTAGGACGAGCAGAGAGGACAGAGGGGCGGGACCGAGCCTTAGACGGGAGGCTGGGTCTGGGGCCCGCACTGGGGTGATCCGCCCGACCTGCCCAGGACTTGCCGGCCCCTGCCGCCCCCAGGTTCGGCACCGACAGTCCGGGCAAGTCATGGTGCTGAAAATGAACAGGCTCCCCAGTAATCGGGGAAATACGCTACGGGAGGTGCAGCTGATGAACCGGCTCCGGCACCCCAACATCCTAAGGTGAGCGGGCCCCAGCCGCTTGCAGGGACGCTTGCTGGGGGAAGGGGAAAGATCCCGCGGGAAAAGTGGGAACTATGGAGGGGCGGGGGCTCTTACAGCCTGCCCTCCTTTCTTCCTCATCCTCTTCCAGGTTCATGGGGGTCTGTGTGCACCAGGGGCAGCTGCACGCTCTTACAGAGGTGAGGATGAGCCAGGAAGTGGGGTACCCACCACCAGCACCAAGGGGAGAGAGAGTCAGCAGCCCCGTGCATCTGCAGAGGAATAATGAGAGGCAGCAGGACCTCCTCCCAGGAGGTCTCCCTGAACTTCCCTTTGGGCAAACCACAAATAAAGGGCCTCATCCTCTGTATCCTCTAGAACAGTGCTGTTCAATAGAACTTTTTGCAGTGATGGAAATGTTCTGTATCTGTGCTGTCCAAAACCACAGCCACTAGCCACATGTGGCCAGGGAGTACAGAAATGCGGCTAGGGTGACTGAGGAACTGAATGCTTAATTTTATTTAAACTTAATAATTTAAATATTTGCACATGCATTGGACAGGACAGCCCTAGAATATGAATGGGGGACCCTAGAGCATGGACTCACCCTTCTGACCTTTGTGATCCTCCTGATTGTCCCCTGGCTTATAAGTGGGAGACCTAAACGACAGACTGAAACCTTGACATTCATTCCCCTTCTCCTCCCTCTGTGCCCTAGTACATGAATGGGGGGACCCTGGAACAGCTGCTCAGCTCCCCCGAACCCCTATCCTGGCCTGTCAGGCTCCGCCTGGCTCTGGACATCGCCCGTGGCCTGCGGTACCTGCATGCCAAAGGGGTATTCCACCGAGACCTCACATCCAAGGTAGGTTGGCCAGGTGGGTGGAGGCATGAAAGGGGACTTGAGACTATTAGATTGTAACTGGCCCATGGATATTGGAATGTGAGAAATAGGTATGTTAGGAGGTTGGAATAGCAAGGCATTGGAGAGTGGGGGTCTGGCATGAGGAGGAGTGCTCTGAGGGACTGAGTACCACGCTGTGTTTGGAGTGATGGATGATATTGCAAATTGGGGTACATGGGAGAACCGGGAGATCAGAGAGGGTTGGGGTTACTCTGGAGTGACAGGGCTTTGGGGTGTATATTGGGAGATCAGGGAGCAGAAGGTGATGGGTGTGGGGATGCTATATGTGTGTGTCAGAACTGTCTGATCCGACGGGAAGACCGAGGCTTCACAGCTGTTGTGGGTGACTTCGGGCTGGCTGAAAAGATTCCTGTGTATAGGTGAGGTGAACGCCCCTGTCCCCCCAAACCTCCCAGAAGGCCCCAGGGACGTTTCCCTTGGAGTGTGGGGGCTGGCCGCATCTCCTTTGGTTTGGGAGGGCGTCTGAGTGGGATGTCTCTGACCGCTCTGCCCCTGCGCCTACAGGGAAGGGGCGAGGAAGGAGCCGCTGGCTGTGGTGGGTTCTCCATACTGGATGGCGCCAGAGGTGTTGCGGGGTGAGCTATATGATGAGAAGGTAAGACATGGACCCTTTAGATCCCCAAGGCCTTCCAGAGACCCTTGAAATACTCTTGGAAGGTGCCACCCCAAGTTCCTCAACAACCCTACCAGATATTCGAGAGATCCCCAGGGTCCCCCTTGCCCCTCACAGGCACCCTCCAACACATGAAAACTGTCAGGACTCCCCTCCTGTTTCTGACATATTCTTGCAGAATTCTGACATGAAAACCGTCAGTTCCTCCCCCTGACATTTACTCTTACCCCCAGGCTGATGTCTTCGCTTTTGGGATTGTTCTCTGTGAGCTCATCGCTCGAGTACCTGCGGACCCTGATTACCTACCCCGTACTGAGGTGAATGATGTCTCAGGTTTGAAAGGAGGAACTCCAGACTGGGCAGCTCATAACCAGGGAAGGCTCCCTGGAGGTTGAGGTCCCGATTAGGGGGCAGAAAGAGAACCCAAGGAAGACTGACTTGGAGGCCGCTCCTCTCTGTCCCCACAGGACTTTGGCCTGGATGTGCCTGCTTTCCGGAGCCTAGTAGGGGATGACTGCCCACTGCCTTTCCTGCTCCTGGCCATCCATTGCTGCAGTGTAAGAGCCTCACTCCCTCACTGCCCTTCCCCCCGGCCATCAGCTGACACGGCTGTCCTGTCCCGGGGGATGGGAGGAAAACTCAGGGACCCTCTTTGGGAGCACTGAGTGAAGCTGCCCCTGTCCTTACCCATCAGATGGAACCTAGCACTCGTGCTCCCTTCACTGAAATCACCCAGCACCTGGAATGGATCCTGGAGCAGCTCCCTGAGCCAGCCCCCCTCCCCAGGGCTCCCCTGACACACAAGCAGGGTAAGTGAGCATGATCTGATCTCACTGAAGTCCTTCTGCCTCTCTCCTCCTCAGAACTCAGGGAATTATCTGGGGGAGACTAAGCGTATTTATTAGTTGAGAAGGCTGGGGGCGGGGGTGGGGTGAAAAGACATCTCAAATTCTAATTCTAGAGCCTAAGGGAGGGGAAGAAAGAAGAGAAAAAGGGGCTGGAGGTAACATCTCCCCTTTTCCAAAACATTCTTTGGGGCTCCCTTTTCTAAGCTCTAGTCCCCCCAGCCTCCTGGCGAATAATGAGGCCCTCAAGGAGCTATGAGAAATGCTGAACACAGCGATCACAAACTTCTCTGTCTACAGGCTCTGTTCCAAGAGGGGGTCCCTCTGCCACGCTTCCCAGGCCAGACCCCCGGCTCTCCCGCAGCCGGTCCGACCTCTTCCTGCCCCCGTCACCAGAATCACCCCCCAACTGGGGGGACAATCTGACTCGAGTCAATCCCTTCTCACTACGGGAAGACCTCAGGGGTGGCAAGATCAAGCTCCTGGACACACCCAGCAAGCTAGTCGCACCCCTGCCCCTTGTACCACCATCACCACTGCCCTCCACCCAGCTGCCCTTGGTGACCACTCCAGAGACCCTGGTCCAGCCTGGGACACCTGCCCGCCGCTGCCGCTCACTACCGTCATCCCCTGAGCTCCCCCGACGTATGGAGACAGCACTGCCAGGTCCTGGCCCTCCTGCTGTGGGCCCCTCAGTTGAAGAGAGAATGGAGTGTGAGGGCAGCAGCCCTGAGCCGGAACCCCCAGGACCAGCTCCCCAGCCGCCCCTGGCTACGGCCACAGACAACTTCATCAGCACTTGTTCCTCAGCCTCCCGGCCCTGGTCCTCTAGATCAGGAGCTCCCCTTAACAACAACCCCCCAGCTGTGGTGGTGAACTCCCCACAAGCCTGGGCTGGGGAGTCCTGGAACCGGGCCCAGCATAGCCTGCCCCGGGCGGCAGCCCTGGAGCGGACAGAACCCTCACCGCCCCCTTCAGCTCCCCGGGAATCCGATGAGGGGCTGCCGTGCCCAGGCTGCTGCCTTGGCCCCTTCAGCTTTGGCTTCCTGTCCATGTGCCCCCGCCCCACACCAGCTGTTGCCCGCTACCGCAACCTGAACTGTGAGGCGGGCAGTCTCCTCTGCCACCGAGGGCACCATGCCAAGCCACCCACACCCAGCCTGCAGCTGCCTGGCGCACGCTCTTAGCAGTGGGGCCTCTGGTCTCAGGCCTCCAACTTTGGCATTCAGGACGCCCTGTGAGAACAGAGTGCAGATGCTGGACAGTGCCAGCCCCAGATGGGCCACCGGCTCTTCTCCCTGTATAGGGGAACTTCAGCATGGACTCGAGAGACAGAACATTTCCTATCCAACCCCTGGGCTTGCTCTCCCGTGGGAATCACTGAACCAGACACAGCATTGCTGACACATGAGACTAACACATGCAAATTATTTAAAAATATTTCAATAAAACTGCCTGGCTGGCTCCGGGCTGCCCCTATCCACTCAGCCGGTGCGCCCTCCTCCCCCTCCCCATATTCCACTATGGGAGCTTTTGGGGGAGGGCAAAATCTCTTCTAGAGGCTCCTTCACCCTTTCCCAAGGAACAATTCAGTTTGTGGGACAGGATTTCAAGCAGGCAGCAGGCTGCCTGGAAGTGTTGGGCATGGATCAGCCCCTGGCCGGGCACCGACCAGGAGAATGAGGGAATGCTGGAGGGAAATGATCTCAGGATGTGCAGGCTGTGGGTTAGGATGAGGGGCATGGGCTCTTGTTGGCTTGAGTATCTGGAGAGTGAAGAATCAGTGAGCACAGTTGACTGTCACTAAGAACCCCTATCCAGCTCACCCCAGCTCCCTGGACAGCCACATCACCAGTCTCCCTCCTTGCCCAACCCCCCCTGACAGAAGCAGACCAAGCCTCTGGAGGCTGTGGACATGACCGTCACTCCCAGGAGCAAGTTTTCCCCCTGACCTCTGGGCCCCTGCTCCAAGTCCCTCTTTTCCCCAGACTCCCATGACTGTCTCATCCCTCACACTTACCCAGCTCAGTGCAAATAGTGGTCCCCATCTGGATACCTGAAAGCTTTCATCTCACAGATGCAGGGAAGAGAAGATGAACACTTCTCCGGCTGCAGTTTTGGCCAACTGCTTTGTACCTTGGCACATCTTGGGTTTTCAGGATAATACCTGTTATACTCAAACCTAAAAGAGTGGTGCAGTGGAGTTGGGGTAAGCTCTGGGTCCCTCCCGTCCCATCCTTTCTCTCCCCTCGCCCTGCATAGCACCTAACCTAAGTCCTAACTCACCCTGCCTGTCCAAGGCCACGTTTGGGCATGGTTCATGGACAGAAGTTTGGGTTTCAGTCCAGAGAGGCTTTAGGACCAGGGAAGGGAAAAGTCTCCCAAGGTCTTAAAGATGGGAACTCCAGTTAGGGAACATAGGGAACTACCCTGTTCCAGGGTCCCTGGGGTTGATCCTCAAAGGAACTCCTCTGCTCCCTTACTTCCCTGGAGCAGCTCTAGTGCCCCAAGAGGCCCCAACTGAGAAAGGACCACCTCAATTTGGGAGCCTTGTCAAGGGACAGGAAGTTAGAACTCCAGGGTTCTCCATCAGCTGTGAAGCCCGAGCTAAGTCCTCAGCTTCTCTCTCTGAAAGATGACATAGGTACCAACCTAGTAATTTTTTAAAAAGCATGTGCCAGGGAACGCTAGGTACTGGGGATAGAATAGAGAATAAGACTGCCCTAAAGAGTTATTAATCAAATAGAGGACATGGACAAATAGACAATTACAGTATTTATTGTGAAAGAGTTTTGGGAGCAGGACCTAGAGGGAAATCTGATTACTATGTCTTTATGAAGGGATTATGGGGTTGGAAATGTCCAAAAGGCCTAACAAACTTACCCAAAGACTCTTGTGCCATCAGTCCACTGCCAGTGCTTGTTAAAGCTGAGGCCAATCCAATATGAATCAAGCTGACCAACTTGTACCAACACCTTATTTAATCTGCTGGCATAATTCTGAGGGGAGATTCAGAGAGACCAGAGATGTGCAGAGAGTGATGAGAAATATGGGAGTGGGGGAGGGGATAGTGGGAGGAGGGGACTTGGGCTGACGGAAGAAAATGAAGACTCTTGGGAGACCTATGCACTTGGACGAGATTGTGCCTGACTTTGGTGCATGACCTCAGCTCATCGGTGACCTATCTCTGCTTCCTTCAAGCGCCACCCTGCAGATGCAGGCTCACCCTTCAGTTCAGCCCCAGCTGGGTAAGAATTTCTGCCAGCCTTTGAAGGGCAGTCATCCCATGGGCTGTTCTGGTCACAAGGAACCAAGCCCTACAATCTAGCCAACTAGGTATGGGACCGCTCTGCCTGAGAGGCCATGAGAGTCAAAGAACCTGGTAAGCAGCCCAGAGAGCCGACCAGAAAGCTGAGATGAGAAACAGCTTAAAGTTCCAACTCTCATGCCAACTCTAATCAACTAGTAGGGGCCGCCTGGAGCACTGTGCTGAGAAGCTGCTTGGAAAAGGAATGCATGCCATGGCATGCGGGCCATGTGTGCACTGCCATTCCTGACTTGATGACATATGTCCCTTTACCTAACAGTACCCACTACAGTCTGTGAATAAGGGAATGCTTACGCTATAAAGACGAGATGTGTCACTGAATGTGGCCAGGTCAGAGGACAGAGATTTACAATGTTTTTGGCTCTCCTCCCAACTTCTCCGAGTAACTGAGACATAAAAGCAACTCCTTTCGTTCTGTATCCATCCCACGGGACAGCAGGTGTCTAAAAAGCAGGAAGAGTGTGACAGCACAGCCCAGACCCAGGAGGGAGAGCTCAACACCTGGGAGGAAAGTGACTACTCAGCAATCTGATTGTGAACGGTATTGCCCTGGGTCTAATCTCGGCACCTTCACTGACTTCTTGTCCTCGATCTTGGCAATCTTGCTTTCCTTTGCTTTCCCTTGCTTTCCCTGGAAATGCCATACCTGTGTATACTTAGTGAAAACCTTTTACATTCAGCAACTTTACTCCTTAACAATCTGGGAGATTTATTTTAATAGGGCTGATGGTACTATTCCCCATTTCTGAATGATCGCACTCCACCCCCCTCCATTTTGGCTGTCCTCACACTGGCTCCTCCACAAGTTGGCCTCCCATTCCCCTCATTAGCTCCAGAAGGCGTTCCCCACTGCATATTCAAGACTCTCCACACTCCTCGGGCTGCCACCACCCCTCCCTCTCTGCTCTTCCACAGTGGACAACCTTGGTGCCTGTTTTGCTGAAATTGTCAGACACTTGATGTGAACTTGCTCCGTTTCCCTCCCCTACCTCAGAATTTGTCTCTTCTCTGTTCCTCTTTTCACGACTGTCCATAAGAAATAAACATCCTTCTTTTTTAACATCTCACACCCTAGTCTGCGCTCCTGATCCCACCCTGCCTCTCTCCATTGCTTGGTTCCACCAGTCCTACCTCCGTCACTCAAAAATCCCTCCTCCATGAACTCCCTCTCTTTTGTCTACAGTTTCTCATGTCCCCACCAAGCTACCCCTTGAGTTACTGTCTTATGACAACTTAAAGGAATAAAAAGAAGTCGGTGTGGCCAAATGGAAGAGGGTGAGGGGATAAGTCGTATGCTCAAAGGTAGGCAGGGGTCCTGGAAGCCATGTTAAAGATTTTTTATTTTTATATTATGAGCAAAAGAAAGTCAATGTAGGGTTTCACACAGAGGAATTTTGTTCACTGGCCATACCACAAGTGCCTGGGCATAGTGTAGGATATGCAGTATGAATTCCATAGCTTTTGATGTAGTGAATTAACTGCTATGACATCATCTTAACTGAGAGGATGTGATCAGATTTTTGTTTTTAAAGGATTATTCTGGCTGCAATATGAAGAGTGGATTTGGTAGGGGGCTGTTTAGGAAAAGCATTCAGCAAGCTGTCCTTGTAAGAGACGGGGCTGGGCAAAAACATAAATGGATATATACGCTTGGTGGTGGAAAACAGAGGGAATTCCTCTGGACAGAGAAGGGCATCTGCTGAAAGTGAGAGGGCAGGCAGTGGGTAAGGAGTTATGATGGAGAGCAAGCCAACCCCTGCAGAGTTGCCAGGCAGTGCCAAGGCCGCAGCTGAGGGTGAGCCTAGAGTTTCAGTGGCCCCAAGCAGAATGACTGCATTTCTCACACTTGGGTGCAGGCATGGGCTAGGTGGTCAGTTGAGTTCACCCAGAGTTGAGACATTTACAGTCAGGGGCACCAGAAGGACAATGGAACAAGGAGTGAGTGGCTGAAGTGATGGGCCCCAGAATCCAAGATAGGTAAAGAGAGAAGTGAGGACAGTGATGGACAGCTGATGGAAAGGGAGAAAACAGGAGTGAGCCCATTGGAGACCTCAATGTGGTTGAAGAAGAAGTGTGGGGAAGCCTGGAGGGGTGGGCAGTTGTGGTTAGAGTGGAGATCCGAAACCCACCTTTAGGCAGAAGAGCAGTTTGGGATACCGAGGTCTAGGGTGCAACTGTGGGACAGGTGGCAGCACTGGCATGGAAGGGCGGGTCATGGGGAATAGGAAGGTTAAAGAAATGAGGACTGGGGGTGTCTGCACGTGATTTCTCTGTCTTACGCCTGGGGGAGTATCCAGATGGCCCCTGAACTAGACAGAGCCTAATCTTGACCACAGATAGCCAGTTCATGAACATTCCAGTCCCCTTGGGCCTGGCACCCTGCCTCAAACCTCAGCCTGCTTCGGCACAGCCTCTCCCGCATCCCCTCCCTCATCCCCACATACTAGCCTGACGCCCGCTTTCAAAATGGATGAACACTCCACCTCGGTCCACTGCCCTGCGACACCCTCACCCACCTCAGTGTGAGTGCCACCCACACGCAAGAGCCTCAGCCGCCTTGCCCTACCACCAGACTGCATCTTGTCAATCAGTAATTCTTCATCTTTTGGGGAATCTCAGATGTGGTGAGAGTTAATTAAAGCAATAGACCCTCTCTTTAGAAAAATGTGCAAATAACCCATTTCACATCCAAATTCAGGGGGTTCCCAGATCCTTGACATTGATGACAAGCCAGATGAGACCTGAGTTTGCAGCTTTGGACAGTATGATTTTCATTGCTGGCTACTACCCTCCTCTCCCCCACAGTATTTGCCTTAGAGCTGGGTGAGTCCCCCTAAATCCAGCATGCAGCTAGATCCTTCTCCCTGTTGGTCAACACTCATGTCAGCCACCACTCTGGCGGGCTGCCCCATTCCTGAACAACACAGTGGCCCCTGCTAAACAAACAGACTGCTGCCAGGAGTGTCTCCTCACTTCAGTCCATCCCGCTCGGCAGACCCTCCCACCTCTCCTCTCCCAGAGCAGATACCTGCTGAGGGGCATGTGAAGAAGGGCTTCAGTGTGTCCTGCACGCCGCTCAGCCTCTGCTCCAGGTTCCTCCTCTGCCCCTCCTCCCTTCGCAAGTTCTCTTCTGTCTCCTCCCTGTTGGACTGGCAGGCCTGCAACTGCTCTCTGGTAGCCTGGCAAACCTTCTGTTCCATCTGCAGTGCTTCCTGAGTCTGGGCCAGCTTACTACTGGACCCCTGCAAGTCCACCTCCCTCTGCCCCAGCTGGGTTATCTTTTGGCTGAGCTGCTGCCTCAGGCTGCTGTTAGTGGCTTCCAGAACGCTGTTGGTCTGCTGGAGCTGCTGAGACACCTGCAGATCTGTTTGGCCATAAAGAGAGGTTTGGAGTGCATCTTCTTCAGCCGCGCCCTGGCACCCTGAGGCTTCAGTTCTTTTTCTGCTTCTTGCAACTTTCTGCATAACAAGCTGAAATATAAGATCTGACTGCCTACAGCTTAAGGAGGTACTGGATTAGGTAAAGACAATTTAGGAAGAGGGCACTCTAAAACACACCTGGCTGGAAACCAGACCAAAAGCTAAGGATATGGCGGTAGTGGCTCTGGGCCCTGCTGAGGAAGGGCAGCCATCAGGGCAGAGCGGAGGAGAAAGTTGCTTGTGGTAAATGGGACGGGGCGGGCAGGCATACTCACAGCGCACTCCCAGGCAGATGGAGGCCGCCCCCAGCAGCAGGCAGGTGAGGAGCGCGCCAAGCACGAGGTACTGCCTGAAGGCTGCACGGCCTTAGGGAGACAGTGGGATGAGCCAGTGAGCCCCAGGAACGAGTCTATAGACTGAGAGGATGGGGGGGGGGGTCACAGGAGAAAGCATCCCTCGAGGACCTGGTGCAGGCGTGGCGGTTTGTGTCGGGAGTGGGTTTCCGCACTCAGCGGAGGAAGGCGTTCCGGAATAAGGGCTGGCGATGGCTACCGGTAAGGATTGAGGGGTACTACCTGGTAGGAGGAGAACTAAGTCTCAGACCGAGGCAGGGGAGGGGGTTTGTGAACCGGGACCATCCTAAGGTGGGGAGGGAGTCTGGGGCGACACGTCGGAAAGATCTATACGGGGCCGAGTGAAGGGGCAGAGGAGGGGTCCGGGGCCGCCCGCGCGGTCCAAAGGGCGGAGCCCCGGCTCACTGCGGCCCAGACCTGGCCCCCGCGGGCCCCGCGCTGGGAAGGCCGGAGGGCGGGCGGGGAGGCCGCGGGCCGCAGGGGATGCGCGTGCGCGGGGCGGGAGCGCGCGGCACTCACCGCGGAGGGGGCGCCCGGCCGCCGGCGGCGTCGCGGAGCTCCGGGCGGCGGGCGGCGGCTCCGACTGGACCCCTGCGGACGGACGACTGCAGCTGGAGAGGGGAGGTCCCAGAAACGCCGCTTCCCCCGCCCCGGCCCCCGGGTCCCCGGTCAGTCCTTCGTGCCTTTTGCGCCGCTCGGGCACCGCCAGCGCCCCCCGGACTCTCCCGTGTCCCTCCCGGTCTCCCTTCTCTGTCCCCGGGGACCCCTCTTCTCCCTCCTGGGTCTCCCTTTATCCTTTCCTCAGGGACCCCCATCTGCCGGCCCCAGACCCCTTCCCCTCCTCCCCCTCCCCCCTCCCCTCTCCCTTGACTCCCCATTTCCCGCTGGGACTCCTCTCCCCCAGGGCTGCCCGGATCCTTCCGCGGAGCCCTGATCTTCCCCAGGGAGCTTCATTCTTCCCCTGGCTCCCGTTTATCCAGTGCTCATTCATCTCTTTCCTAAGAACCCCCTCCTTTCCCCGAGGGTCTTGTCCTCCCAAGAGAGCTGTGGACTCCCAGCTCAAGATACAGCTCCCCCACCCCCCACCCCCCGCCAACACTCACCCCCTGGGCTCTCCATACCTGCTTTGTCCCCTACTCCAGAAGAAGCCGAGCTCGAGCCCCCTGGGACTGGGGGCACCTGTACGTTCTCATAGGTGAGTTCCCCATCCTCGTCAGCCTCTGGGTCTGGAGAGGAGAGAAAAGGGAGCAAGGTGGGGGTCGGAATGGGGTCTGTGGGGTGAGTCATGAAGGAAGATGGGGATGCGGAGTCTGGGAGACGCCTGTGCATCCTTACCCTGTCCTAACCGCCTGGCGATGCCCTTCTTCAGGGGAGCCTTCACAAACCGCAGGTCTGCATAGGTGATGGCCTCAGCCATGGTCCTGAGCTCCTCTGCCCCCACCCGTCTCCCCCCTCTCCCACTGGCCCCAAGCCTCCCTTACCACTCTCCCCTCTGACCCTTCACACTCGTAAGCTCTGGGTTCACTCTATGACTGCCCAGCTTAGTGCTCTGCCCTGTGACTTCCAGTCACAAAAGAGGAAGATGTGAGCAAGTCTCAGACAGATGGGTTCAGTGAAGCGGACTGCATCCTTGAACCCTGGCCAGAGGGGCAGGGGAGGGGAAACTGAGGTCCAGAGCATCTGGTAGGGCCAGGGATGTCACAGGATCGCTACTCAGGCCTGTCCCTGTGTCCTACCTGTGCTCCCCTTCATGCATCTCAGACCCACTTCGGCAGTGCTGGTTTCACACCCATCCTCCTGCTCATCGACCCTGATTTGCCCAGGCTTCTCTCCTGGCTGCCCTGTCCACAGGCTTATCTATGTGTAGTTGGAGCTCTTTTGTGCTCAGCTGACCCCAGAGGATCTCCTCAATCATCACTCCAGGGTGGGACTCCACCCTCCGCATCAGGTTGGGGGGCTTCTAGCATGGAGCCCTAGCACCTCATCATCCTGGGCTTCCCAGCAGGTATGAGTTCCCATAAAGGGGTCCCTAATTTGGTGAGGCGCATCACCTCCTCAGTTTGGGGGCTTTCAGGGTAGACCCAGCTCCCTTCCTGCTGTAGTCCCACAGAACTGCCCAGGACCCCACGCACAGGGAGGGGCTCCCTCCAAAGGCCTTCCTGGGGAGGTGGCAGCCCTTTAGAGGACGTAGAGGTTCTGGGACCAAACTGCTTCTCCTCTGAAAACCCCCCGGACCCCTTGCCTTGCCCTGGCCCCCTCCACCCTTGTTGCCCTCTGATCCCACCTGTGGCCAGTCAGCCCCTTCCTCATCCCATCCTGCCCCCTGCCAGATTCACAGGGTCCCTTGTGTCCCACTGTCTGAGCTGGACCCAGCTAGCTGAGTCCAGGAGGCAGGGGCTCTTGGATGCGCCCGGGCTGCGGGTGAGGGCGAGGGACCCCCTATCTTGTGCACCTCTGGGAGAGCCTGCAGCACTGATGACTCACACGCCCTTGTGGGGGCTCAGAGCGCAGGCGAGCAAAGGAGTTGCACAGGGATGACAAAGGGCTGCCACTCCTTCAAGGAGAGCAGAGAGACCAAGCAGCAGGTGCTGGGCGCCCTCTGCACCAGCTGAGGTTTTGATATTTTCTTGGTTTGGTTTTGATTCCTCTCTTACTTTCCTAGTAAAGTTCTTCTTTTAAAAAGTCCCAACATTGTCCCTTTACACCCAGCCCTGAGGAAAAAGGGGCATTTGTAGGGGAAGACTGGGGCTGAGGCGCTCATTGGTGGTGAGGGCCTGGCTCATGGAGGAGAGGGTAACCAGCGGGGAGGAGGGGCGGCTGAGGAGCGGTTCGGAGGTGTTCCCTAACGTTCTTTTACCAGTGACCCCGAAAGGGCCTACTTCTAGGGGTGGGAAGAGGCTGGGACAAGAAAAGATATGAAGGTGGGGAAAAAACCCACCCCCAGTGGGTGACATCCGCCCCCTCAGAAACCCCCCTCTGCAGCTGTGGGGAGGGAAAGGAAGGGGAAAGAGGTCCTCACCGCATGCTACCAGCTAACAGCTCGGAGTCTGTGATTGGATCAGTGGTGCATAGGGGAGCACTGTGATGCGCCTATGGGTCGAGAGCTCTGCCCAACAGCACCCCCCAGCCCACCCCAGAAAAACTGCCCACTGAGGAAGAAGAGCACATTTGTCCCCTGAGGAGGGAGTCTGAGGGAGAGGCAGGTGTATGCATGTGTGTGAGTGTACACGCATGCACACGCGTCCCTAGGTCCTTGGGGTCTGTTGGCGTGTCTGTGTGAGGTGAGCATCTATGTCAGGGCCTGCCTGGTGGGTTAAGCATGAAGGATTCTGTGGGCTGAAGGATGCCGGTGATAGATGTTATTTCTGTCCATGGCAAGGAATGACGGGCCGTTTTCAGAAAAGTCTTAAAAGGTCATGGGGACAGATTCTACAAATATTTCCTTTTGAAGGCTCACTGTTTCCTAAGGTGTCCCTGCAGCTGTTAACCGTCCCTGCCTGGTTAAAGTTTCCAGCACCCGGTCCCCTCCCCCAGATAACAGGCAGTGGTGTGAGTTGGTGACTCCCTTGGGGGCCTCAGGGACCGTGAGAGTGAGTGGCAGCATGTAGAGCAGCTGCTGGCAGGGATGGGTGGGGGCAGTCAGGGTACTTGTATTAGTGGTGAACAGGGGCCGGGGGCAGCATGTGTGTAAATCAGTTGCAGGAAACTTGCAGGAATTCTGTAAACTGTAGATAATGTCCCAGTTTTCAGAACTAACACACAAGTGAACATGGCCTGGATGCCGGGTAAAGTGTCAAAACCAAGCTTCCAGTAAGCGCTCAAAAATAGAATCGATGGGCGTGCTGCCTAACTTGACCCTTGGAGAGGCCCCAGCAGGGAGGGCCCCAGAGGGAGCTGGGATGAGCTGAGCTGCACAGCCACAGTCCGTGGGCGTCTGAGGCGGCCGGCTGGCTGCTCTCCTAGAGCTCTTTTGGTGGTGGTTACTATCTCCTTATGACATTCTGTATTCTCTTCTGTGGCTTTTCTCGTGACTCTGTCTGAGAGCGGGATCCTCCCCCCTCCCCACGTGTGCGTCACACGGGGTCTTTGCGATATGGACGTTCACATTACCTTTCAAAACGGGCCACCAGAAAGGACACCTGAGCTCTGTGCTGCATCTCACCTGCCCACGTGTCAAGACACCTGGGGATTTTCCAGAGCTGAGGGGCCCATGCTGTACGTTGTGGCTTTTCGAGGCCCATAGCACCGTCTGGGATCCTAGAGGACAAACTCCGGAGCCCATTCTTGTGCCCCCCTGACCTCTCCACTGCATGTGACAGGGAGCGGGGCGTTAAGCTGGGGGAGGAGGGAGCCGGCCCTGAAGGCATCGGGGAAGCACTGGCCGTGTGGACAGAGGTTGTCTGTGTGAACCTTAGTGAAGGCCAGCCAGCATCAGGAGGCCGAGGAAGTCTTCTGAGACTCCGCAAGTCGGGCTCTACCTGCAGCAGCTCCGCGACAGGGCGTGGGAGGCAGGACAGAGGTCTCCGCAAATGTTCATGCTCCGATCCCCAGACCCTGGGAATATGTGGCTTTACCTGCCGAGAAATGGAACCGTGATTAAGTTAAGCACCTTTGGTGCTTTCAGGCACATGGGAAGAAGGGATTTGACAGTGGAAGAGGGCCAGAGAAGGACCCTACCGGCAGCTGCTAGCTTGGAAGGTGGAGGAAGGAACCATGAGCCAAGGAATGCAGGCAGCCTCTAGAAGCTGGAAAATGCAAAGAAATGGTTTCTCCCCTGGAGCCTCCAGAAAGGAACCAGCCCTGCTGACGTGTTGACTTTAGTCCAGTGAGACCTGTGTCAGACTCTGACCAAGAGAACTGTAAGATAAGAAATTTGTATTTTTTAAGCCACTAAGTTTGTGGCAATTTGTTACAGCAGCAATAGAAAGGTTTCCTGAACTGTGAAGGAAGCATGATGTAAAGAACATGATAGAGATCAAGAAGCCAGCCTTCGGGGCCAGCCCGGTGGCGCAGTGGTTAAGTTTGCACATTCCACTTCGGCGGCCCGGGGTTCACCGGTTCAGATCCTGGGTGTGGACATGGCACCGCTTGGCAAGCCATGCTGTGGTAGGCGTCCCACATATAAAGTAGAGGAAGATGGGCACGGATGTTAGCTCAGGGCCAGTCTTCCTCAGCAAAAAGAAGAGGATTGGTGGCAGATGTTATCTCAGGGCTAATCTTCCTCAAAAAAAAATAAATAAATAAAAGAAGCCAGCCCTGTGGCAGTGTGTGACTTTGGGCAAGTCACAATTTCCTATCTGTAAAATATGGGATTGTCTAGATGACATGTGACATCAATCAAGGGTGTGATGGCTGGAGATAATAGTAGGTATAGATTTTAGCCAAAGTCTGTTGCAATAACTCCAGAGTGTGGAAGAGAAACAGTGGGCCGCCAATAGCACTATTAAGAGAATTTGTGGCTCTTTGATCACTGAAGCCAAAGAGTGCCAGTGGTGGGCCTCCAGAGACTGCCTCAGGCCTCTCCTTGGTCCTGTCTTGAATGGTGACACAGAAAGCACATTGATGTATGCTGATGCACAGAGCTGTGAGAAAAAGCAAATACACCGAAAGGCAGACTCAAGATTCTGACATTGCAGCAGGGCAAAATGACAGCTCCACACCACAGAAAGAAGGTAATAAAGATAAATAATAACAGCTAACATTTATTGCAAAATGAAATTTGGGGTTCAAAAAATAGGAGCCGGCCCGGTGGCGCAGCAGTTAAGTGCACACGTTCCGCTTTAGCAGCCTGGGGTCCACTGGTTTGGATCCCAGGTGCAGACATGGCACGACTTGGCAAGCCATGCTGTGGCAGGCATCCCACAGATAAAGCAAAAGAAGATGGGTACGGATGTTAGCTCGGGGCCAGTCTTCCTCAGCAAAAAGAGGAGGATTGGCAGATGTTAGCTCAGGGCGGAACTTCCTCAAAAATAAAATAAAATAAAATAATAAATTACATAGGCATAGGACCGAGGGAGTCTGGCTTAACCATAGTGGATGTACAGAAGTTTGAGGAGAGAGGCAGTTATCAGGCATTTTGGAGCCTGAAGGGATCTTAGTGAGCCCAACCCACTTATTTTACAGATTAGGAAACTGGGCTCAGTGAGCTGTAAGCTCCTTATGAACTAACCCCGTGACTAGGAGGGCTTGTGACAAAAGGCTGCTCCATAGGACTATAGCTTCTTTACCAAATATATCATTGTGCCAGCCACACCCACAGCCACTTTTAATGGGGGCAAAGCCCTGCTGATGAGGCAGCCCTAGACCCCCAAAAGTGTGTTCCGTGACCCCTGGCTCCTCTGGCCTCAGCTGATTGGGATAAACAAGTGGGCAGCTGACTCAAGGCTGGCCGGAGTGGGGCCTGTGGGGAGGCCTGCCCTGGGAACCAGGGATGATGGCGCTTATCAAATTTTCATCCTCAGGAGTTTAGGTGGGAAAATATGGAGATGACTACTCAGTTAGCAGTGAGAGCCGAAGGTGGAAGGATGCACAGGGACAGGCTGTGTCTGTCCACAGGGTAGAGTCCTCCAGATTTAGCAGTTGTCGCTGGCTCCTCCACCCTCACATGCTGAGAGCTTAGAGCGGAGTGATCATCCTGGCAATCGAACCTGATTCTCACGAGGAGATAGGGTTGTTGCTACATGATGGGAACAGGAGGAACGGATCTGCCTGCCAGGGGACTCACATGTCCCTCCTGGTGCTCTGTGCCCAGTGACACACTGTCCACCAATGGGCCACGGCAGTCACCGTGGCCTGAAAAGGGCTCAGTATTT